TATGTGATAATAGTCTGTTTAATAAGACAAAGACGAACAAGTTTCCATTTATATTCGTCAATATCAGAAAGATCCGAAAGAATTCAAGTTTTATTCAAGCACACACTGTTGAGGATTTCACAACTACAAAAGAAGCTAATACAGATTCATCAGAAATAGCAAAGCAGATGCATGATAAGCAGATAAAGAAAAAGTAAATCCTCAACTAATTCAAGATATATATATATAAGGAGGGTGCGTCTCAAGGGTCTAATACCCTTTAACTCTGCCACCCAAGTTTAGATCAAGGTTCATAAAGATAAATCTGGTGGATCAGAAGTTCGTTTCCGCTTGATCCCTGGAGTTTCCACAGAATCTTGAGAGATGTTTCCTTGAAGCTTTTGGATAAGTCCTGTAGCAGTATCGGCACATTTGATAATCTCTCTAGAAGAAACAGAAATAAAAGTCTGAATGACACTATCATCAAGAAAACCAAGAAAGCCATTGAAGATATGATGAGAATTTAATAGACCAATGGGTTTATTATGCAGTTTCATGTCAGCCCAAGAAGCAATAGTAAACATGGTCATTAAAGTTTCATAATCACCAGGAAGTATGATGAAAGCATCACTATGGTTCACCATGAACATAGTGTAATCATAAATAGAGTTAGAAAGTAATCATAAATAGAGTTAGAAAGCATTAGACTGGTAGAATCTTTGAGAACTTTTGAAGGAGTTTTGTGGAATGGTAGAACACTTTTCACTTCAATATCAAAGCCTTTTCCAGCCAAGAGAAGGTTACCAAAGAAAGCGAGGCTAGTTCCTCCATATAGTAAATTGATCTTTTGTTTTCCCAGCTCTCTTACTAGTTGGGATACAATATCGATATTTTGAGAAGAAGCTACAAGTTTAGAACCACCAAGAACACAAATGGTTTCTATAGATGGAAGAACTTTTGAAGAAACAGGAGTCTCCATTTGGAGTAGAGAGATACTCAAATGGGGAAAGGATGGGTTATTTAGGAAAGAGAATGAGTATTATAATGTTTGATTTCGGCAGAAGCAACAGACAGGGGAGCAGTTAAGCATTCAATGAGTTATATTTATCAAAAGAAATAAATACCTTTTAATAAGGGAGTTATCAGAGATAGCTGTTGCAAACAGGATCCTTAGCAATAATGTTTTCCAGACTATAGCGGTTCTGTTCATCTTTGAAACAGACCCATAAAGACATAAGCTCTTGATGCACATATCCACTGGGATGTGTATCGAGAATTTGTTGGAGGGTTTGATCCAAGGATTCCTTGTTCAAGCCATTCTTAATGAAAGCTATTTTATCTTCTCGATTTATGGACGCAAATCCCAGCGAATTTGCATCGGGTATTGCAATTCGATCAAGCACATTTATAGCAGCCACCTATTCGTTTGGCTCTACATTTCTTGGCAAGAGTACTTCTACCTATTCCGCACAGATATTTATAAGAGTTTGGAAATTTGCCAGAGAGTCGGACGTTTGCTTCAATCAACTATCGGATATCATTTGG